TGCAATAAAACACTGCAATAACACGCAATCGAACAATTTAAATTAAAATGTGTCACATTTTACCAAAAATCGGTAGAAGAGTCCCTTAAAGATTTCCTATCAAAGACAACTTCTTTTCAGAGCTAAAGTTTCTCTCACCGGTTGATGTGATGAACAATCGTCTTATTATAAGTGATACCTTTCATGACGCCGTTTTAAAAAAATTTGCCCTTCATATTGAAACCGAAAAGGCAATTTTGGAACTAAAGAAAATATGTATTTATTTTGATAGGTAGTGAGAAGAGAGGAATTTTAAAAACAAAAGTAATGTCATTGAATTTTGGTCGTTTGTAAACGACCTCAAAAATTTTAATGACGAATATTTATTTCGCAATATAGGTAAACTGGCTCTAATCATTTTAACATCATGGAAACGCTGATGTTGAGCGAACTTTTTCTTATATGCTTGATTACAAAAAAAAAAAGAAATAAAATAATACCATCAACTTTGTCTGCACTACTTACAATTAAATTAGACTTGGAATCAAAAAAACAGTGCTGTTTATCCTATAGTTTTAATGAGAATCATTTAAACAAATATAAAAAGAATTATATAATGTAAATAAGGAAGCTGAAGAAGAAGTAATTTCTGATTCTGACTGTGAATAAAATAAGCAACGTCGGCATTTCCACGTTTCCGCTTCTTCTTTGTCCTTATTTTTTGTTTTTTTTATTAATAAATGGTAACGTAAGCTACCACTTTGGCGGCTTTTTCAACGAAAATAACACTATTTTAATGTTTTATTTGTAAAGTTATGTTTCCCCTGCATCGGCAAGCAAACATTCAGCTGCGATGAAGTGATGTGGCGACAGTTTTGGTCGGGAATTCACCGAATACGAATACGTAATCGAGAACCTGGCGATTCGAGAGCTCCGAAGTGCTGCTAGACTCGGCCTTGTCCGCCAGAAGTCCAAGTCGAGTACGACAGACGGAGAGGGTGCCTGTAAGAAACTTTGGGACAAGCGTCGACAGGAGATCCTTGCCTGAGGTAAGTTGTGAAGCTAAACAAGGTTTGTCTGGTCGGATCGCGAAATGACGATTTTTGGCCAAAACTCGATATGCTGTAGAGTGTGTTACCTTATTTTTTTGGTCGGAGTTCGATGCGAATGATTTCTGTTGTACTTTGGTTAGGCACATTTACCTATCAAGGTTTTTACTACTCCATGATTGAAGCCACACATCTGCTTTTAATGAGCAAAAATAGTCAGGCTCAGAAGGCGACTTTTTTCTACCTCAAAATCCATGACTCCGACAAAGTTTTGCTCATCACAGACATTAACGCAGGTATATGTACAAGACATTAGCCAACCTAGATCGCCTACATAGAACTGAATATATCTTGATTACCGCTCGTAAATCGATCCATTTATAGCATAGATAAATTATGTGAATTTGTTGCTAGGCCCGTATCGAAATAATGCGATTTATGTTATATTCATTCAATATGTATTAGTGCCATTTATATTATTTAGGGCCGTATCGTCAGTCCTTCCTACTATTGTAGGGCGCCTTTATGGCCTCCTTGATTTTCATAGTTTTCTACTGTTCCGTGTCAGCGCTTCTATTTGAGGTTATGTTACAAATATCTATTTGCATCACAATGTTCATACTTTGATTTATATCATCTGTTACATCAGCCTGAAATTTCTTACAAATCGAAAGAAATCATAGCCTCACAATAAGAGAGTGCTGACTCGGAACAGTAGAAATTAGAAATCTGGAATACCTTAGCCTTCCGAACGAGAGAAGATAATTTAAAACCAGCGAGGTCATAAAGGCGTCTGGACAATTGTAGGAACGACTGACGATACGGCCCGTAGTCCTGTATCATATAATGAACATATGCATGTCGATACCTTAAAGAAACAAAAAATGTAAACATGTACACTATAGTGTGTCGTAAACTATACCCAGTTTCGTTAGCTTGAAGGATAATGAAAAAGAATACATTTAGAAATGGTATCACTGAAATTATAGGTGGAGTGTGGCCCTGTGATCGAGGAACAACTCAGTCTAATGACCCCTCCCAATGAAAAGCTGATGAAGACACTGAATCCAACTTGGGACCGACTATACTCCTTACAAATTCACCGCGCCATAGAGAGACATCTAGTCAGACCCATAAAAGGACTAAAGAGAAACCTATAGAGAGGACTAATGAGAAAACCTATAGAGATGCCTATAGTGAAACCACCTGCGTCTACGATGCAGAATTTTACTGATGCAATATTGCTAGAAAGTCCAGACAGAAGAAAACGGTTGCGCAGGTCTATCCGGTTGAAAATGATATAAAGGTACTGTCGTTGGAAGTTTTTAGAAACTGCCTACAGAAGAATATCTTATAGCATTGATTAATCTCTGGCGTAGGAAGTATAGAGTCAATATCCTTGACTCCCACTTAAGCATCTCGAATCTTTGACGCTCGTGCTGCAATGCCGAAATAATGTTTTCGAAATCACTTAATAAGTGAAAATATGAACAACTTCAATTTTTTCTAGCAAGATCTCACCAGAAGTCCACAAGACAGACCCACGCGGGCAGATGGCGCGATCCCATATGACATAAAGGAAACGATAGTAGCGTTAAAGGAATGCTCAACTTCCAACAAGTCATAAAGTAAGAAGAGCAGGAATCATAGAACGGTTTTGAGGGGTGATTCCACTACGAGTTTTGATGATACGATCTGTAGTACGCTGAGACAAATTTGTTTTAGAAAAAAATTCAATCAGATAATTTGTAGGTTCTTCCGAGATCACGGATAGCAATGTGTCGGATATAACAGTGAAGAAGTTCAAAAATTGTAAGTCGAACATTTTAGGTGGAGATCCAACAATATGCGATATAAAAAAGTGGATTTGAAATTTGCGTCCGAGGTCCAGATCCCATAACAATTATTTATATACCTGGAAAATGCGGTTTATACACTTTTAATATCCCCATTTAAATATTTCGAAAACTGCGCATTCTAGAAAAAAAGTTTCAAACAAAAGCTGTAGGGTTTTATGGGAGCAAAATGATGGTGACCTTGAAAATGACATTGACTACGACCTTCAAGGTCAAGTGAATATTTATCACATCGGAATTTACAAGTGGAGCAAATTTTTCGCCCCAATATAACCTAGGCAATCACCTGCCCATTGACTCCAGACTCATTTCAAGGTCAAATCAAGACATCACAAACAATTTGCTCTAGCAAAAATGTTCCACAGCACAGTTGTGGAATTTAGCGGATCATCCAAAAGTGACCTCAAGCTCAATCATGACTTTGACCTTGACCTTCAAGGTCAAGTTATAATTTCAGGGGAAACTTATTTTTATACTGGAAATGCAAAAAAACGGGAAATTTACGTACCAACCTCGTGTCTAACTGAATGTTTTTTTGAGGTATTCCCTGCTTTTCAATTTCGAGTATAAAAATGGGAGGTGTCCTGGAAATTTTGACTTGACTGTCAAGGTCAAGCACATGGTTGACCTTGGAGTCACCTTTGTGTTGTCGAACATTTTTGCTTGAGCAAATTAATGTCTTGATTTGACCTTGAAATGGCCCTGAAGGGAATGGTCAAGGTCATTGTCAAGGTTAAGATCATTTTGTCAATTTAGAACCGTACAGCTTTTGTTGTTGTTTTCGGAATATTTAGGTGGGGATATCAAAATGGGACACCGTGTATAGAGAAGATTTAGGATTTAGAGTAAAATTGTATGTACTACTTATGGAACTTCTTAATCATATTTTGCATAGTATACCAAAGCAAACCAGGTTCAATTTTGTTTAGCGTCGGATACTTTATTTCAAGCCAGAGTATTAATACAAATTCTGCTCTTGGGATACCACACAGAAAGGGTCAATGGGTGTCAAATCTGGTGATCAAATCGGACTATTTCTTTTGAAAATGTAAGAAGTGTACTTTATGATTCAGTAAATTGCAATTAAAAAACTGCTTTCTCTCCTACTTGATGCAAGTATTGGGTGAATTTTGGGATACCCTTTATCAGAAGAGATTTGTTCTAGATTTGACTAAGCCGAAAGTTTACGATAACAAAGTGATCGAAGAAAGTGATTCGTTATTGGGACAACCAGGCAAAGGTCACAGCGTTGTGACAACCGCCACCGAGACTTCTGAGGAGATAAATGTAGACAAAAGCGTCAGCACTGGCGCTGGACCGAAATGGAGAATCATTATAAACAAACATACCGGGGAGAGTAAAACGTAATGTTTCCTCTGTACTACGATTTGTGTTGTGAAATAACTTCAAAACTATAATTTGGTTATTCCTTACCCCTTACAAAAGTTATTAAAAACAATGACGTCAAGTAGATTGACTCCATTTTTCTTACGCCACCTCTTTTTTATATAAGTTTGAAATTAAGAAGAAAAAGAAATGGGTTAAGAAGACTTAACTAGGTATGTTAGCTCAGGTACAGTATATCTTAAGCCTTTAAAACTAAGACTATAGAAAATAAGTTCTAATCCTTCACACGCTGCATGAACTATTGGTGAATAATAAGTTTCCTGGATCAGAAGCTTCTTTTAAGAATAGCTCGTCTTTCACTGATACAAAGGATTGACGTATTCTGAAGATAGCCATCTTCACTTCCTCTCTTGCCGCAAGATATCAGTCGTAAAATTGACGGTTTCTTCTTTTTATCCCACAATATCAGCGCGGGTATTCCCCAGGGATCATTCTTGGCTTGGACATTGTTCCTCTTACATACCAAAGACCTCCTTTCCTGTACGATCGATCCTATCCACAGCTTTGCTTATGACAGCACTCTACATGCAGGAATTCACAGTTGACAATGCATTGTAAATCCAATCTATTCGAATTCGGTGGCCTTGAAAGACAACGGCAAATAGCGAAACTGCGCGGTAATCTTTTGGTTTGGTACTAGACTCGATTTTTTACACTGATAAACGTTCTGTATGTTTGTAACGCGTCAGTGTCAATTTTGACAAATCATAAAATGTCACAAATTCACCACCGCAGTAGATGTCAAAACTTATGGTACTATTTATTATATTCATATTGGGACGAAGCACAAGTTCAATCAAATTTTTGAGCGACAAAGGAATCGTAGGTACGCCCACCAAATCTCCGCACCTTCAAGATGATGATAACGTATTTTCATTTGCAGATATGCGTTTCACATGTGTAAACAACTTCACACGTACAATCTACTTACCTCTTGGTGTACGAAAAATGGAAAGTATCGTTTTGTTTATATCAACAACATTTGTTTTGCCTCAATGCAAAATTAAATTCTATACATATCCTGCGAACAATATAGGAATAATACTTGTGATAGACTTGTTGGAAGGATCTTTGGTGGAAGGAGAACTATTTGTGGTGAGCATTTTAAAATGCTTTAGACTGAAGTAACATTTCGAAAATGCCGCCGTCGGTTGGAACTTCTTCCTAACGTTTCGCTAGCACGAGTGGCTAGCTTCTTCAGAGGAAATGGAAGGACATCTGAAGAAGCTTGCCACTCGTGCTAGCGAAACGTTAGGAAGAAATTCCAACCGACGACGGCCTTCAGACCCGAATCAAGACACCAGTTTATCAACTGGCCGCGAAAGCCTTAACCAATTTATCCAAAGTTTGATTTGAATCAAGTGCTGAGCTTGTTTAGATTATGAAACTTTTTGATTTTATAGATAAAGAATATGCTAGGTGACACTTTTTTTAAGTTCCTTACAACTATTCAGAAAAATAGTGAAAATAAAATAAGAGTGTGTAAAGTATATTCAGATAAGAGATAGACCGGACATAAACAAGACCACGTGATCATCGAACGCTGTAACATTCGGCAGGACGTATTAAGAGTCACGCAGTACATATTTTAGATAGTAGATGCTGCTTTGCGTAACTTTGTAGTAAATTAGCACAATTCGATGTGTATACGATTGGTGATGGATATAGGATCATGTGGGGGTGGGGTAAGAAATAGATAATGATGTAAATATACATAAGGGTCTCAAAATTTTCGCTTCGATTTCCAGCTTCGGATGCCGTCTGATGTTTGGTGAAATACAGTCGAATATAATCTCAAAATGGCGTTTAAATTAGCCTAAATTAAAAATAATCGTATATCTCTTAAAATTGCTTTTAGAATATTGATTAGTATATTTTTTGATTTCTAGGTAAATATGTAACCAAATTAAAACGTTCAAAACGTAAAAAATGTGCGGTTGAACATTGTCAGAAAGTAGATTCTTGAATAGGTTTTGCAAAATGGGTTCAAAAATGTCAATAATTAATTAAAAAATACAGTAGCTTTATAATTACTTATAACTTACCGAATTTGATGAACGACATCTTTTATTGGAAAGATGAGCTTGATGAGCTTTCATCATCGCTACTGCCTGAAGCACCAACGTCAATAATGAATGGCTCGACTTGTTCCTCTAAAATATTGTCCAGTTCCCACATTCTCTTTTCAACTTTGTCTTTCACGTGCTTAATACAGTTTTCCCATTTTTGCGCTGTTATTGATTCTAGTGCTTCTTTGAAAAGTCCTTTGAGGTCACAAAATTTAAAAGTTGTATTGTGCTTAGTTATATAATTTTTAACCTCTGCCCATATGAGCTCAATGGATTGAGCTCGCAATGGTATGGAGGTAAACGGAGCACAGTTTTATTTTGACTTGCTGCCATTTCGTCAATGGCGTATTTTTGATATTCCGCCTTGTGATCCTTGACAATTCTTTATAATTGTACTTTCAGCATTGCTTCTTCAAAGTTGATATTTTTCGAGCGGAGCCAATTTTGAAAATCAACTTTCCTTGAAGCCGTTGTTGGGACCTTCTCCATTCTTCGAGAATGATAAGGCGCATTATCCAACACATTACTGCGTTTTTCCTCTAAGTTCGGTAAAATTTTGAAAACCACTGTTCAAACGATTCGCCATTCATTTCCTCGTGGTAATCTCCAGTTTTCTTAGACTCAAAGCACCACAGACCGTCAACAACAAATCCATCCTCACTGCCAATATGGCAGATAATGAGCCTTTTCCCTTTACCTGGAAATCGAAGTACTAACTAGTGTAGATTTATTTCAATAAGCGAACCTTTTTCAAATGTTTTCATCGCATTCAGCGAAAAAACATTGAGACATGAGTATCAGATTGATATAATTGGGATTATTTAGTCATATTGAAAGAAAGAATATTGAACGTCGTATGATTACTCAGCGCTTCACAATTTAATTTAAAGTTATAAACCTCTAAAAAATGAATGATCAGGAACCTGAAATACGCGCAAATATTACCATGTTTCATCAAGGTAATAAATCTTCCTGTTTTGATTTCTATATTTCCCAATTTTTGTTAAATAATCCCTCCTCCATAGCACAATTTCTTCTCTATCCAGTAGTAAACTATTACGACCCCGTTTTTTCCATTTGAAATTTAAATGCTTCAGTAACGCATGGAAAGTTGATCGTTTGAAATTTGGCAACGTTGTATCTCCATTTACCTCCTGCAGTACTTTATCTATAGTAGGTATTTCATTCCTAAAGAAGAATTCGTGCACTTTCCTCCTAATCGCATGCTTATCAGCTTCATCCAATGATTTAACAATACTTTTCCGATGTTTACTGGTCATTGGCTCAGAAAAGGTGTGATTTTTTTGTATTGTCTTAACACATTAAACACTGATGCGCGACACACCCCAACTTTGTGAGAAACCTTCACAACAATTTCTTTGATGGTTGATGCCTCGTTCTCCTCGCGCTCGATCTTATATATATTCAAAATGACCTCTTTCATTTCTGCACTCAGGTGTCTTTTTTTAGAGCGTTTCCTAGGTGGACTACAGGAGTTTACAACTTCATCGGCAGTATCTGTACTACTGGGCAACGACAAACTCAACAACTTAATAAGATAACAAACGAAAACGTCCAAAGAAATATCAAATTGCAATGATGCACACGACATACGTAACACGTCTGAACCTGAATGTGACTCTGCCTTGATACGACTGCTCTGCCGCTCGGCATAGGCATTTAATTGCGAATTGACCAATGAGGGCTCCTGTTTTACGTCGAGACGGCGGCGTTAGCGTGAAAATCACCCGAACCTTTTGTTTACATCCGGTCTATCTCTTATCTGAATATACTGTAGTGTCAAATTGTTTGTAAGATAATGGTCTCTTAGAAAATGCCGACGAATCTCTTTTCTATTTGAAAATATAAACTGAAAGAATTAGTGTTTGTAACTTTCAGTAAATCTTTAAAACGACTGTAAGGACGTTCGCCTCAAAATCGTATTTTTCCCGTGTTATTTGATCAAAAATGAAGCGATTTACAGGATGCATGGCATTCTAGATCAAAAAATAAAAATTGAGATAAAACTGACTTTATTTGTCAGATATTGACAAGTGAGGCGTTATTGAGTTCAGAATGTCATTCTCGATCGAAATAAGTAACAATGCATAGGGTGTTCATTTAAAAATCGAAAGTTTCGCACGGGTATCACGTATCTTGAAAAGCGACATTATAGGTTTTTCTACAAGATATTAACTTAGCACTTAGTTGTACGTGTTGCCTAAACGTCATGAGGCTTGTTATCAATCTTTTTGGCTCTGATGTGATGTAAAATCTGCTTCTGAAATGCCATTACTGGAGGTCTACGCTCTAATTTGTATGTGTTGATGATAATTACATTGGGTTCTTGTCTCAAATACACTTAATTGAGATTCAAAGCTAGAAATTAGTTGCGCATCCACTTTTTCTCATCCATTCTCGAAATTACATATACAAATTTGCAGAATTTCAAAAATGAGTGAGATAAGAAATAATTATATTCACTGTACACTGTCGAATTACAAGCCATATACATGCTAACAGCAATTACACACAACGCGGGCGCGGTGGTGATTTCCCGTAATTCTCCTCAGTTTTTCGTAATTTATAACTTTGAACATAACCTCTCTTCAGAAGGCACAATATATAAATAACCCGTCATATTGAGCATATTCAGTAATGATGTTCTCACACAGCAAATATCACTGATTTTATACACATGCAGACCAATACACATAATCATCCAGATGTCATCTTGCTATTCAAGCAACAGCAACTTTCTTCTCAGAGATGAAAACTACAGTCACGGATCACTCAGCCTCACAAAACTATGCAACCAATAATGCGTGTAGTTTAGTTGAGTGATTCCTCCATAGATGGACGTTCACAACGATCCTAGTGACCAAACGTGTAATAATTGTTTGCGCCCTAAAAACTACCTAGTCTGCAAGTTGTCATCTTATAGTTTTTTTTGACGTTTTGTAGGTTTTTTTACATGATACCCGTGCGTCAAACTGGAAGTGCATCAAAGCAAGTGAATATGTCAAAAGATGTAAATTCATCTACAATTCGCAACCCTCAAATTACGTTTTTCTATCTTCAATAATAAAAAAGTTAGAAAGGGTGAGTCACCTTGGAGAATCAACCGGTATATCCATCTTGCGTTTTTTAAAAATGAGATCAATATACTTCGTTTTCCTAATCCAAATAGTACTATAAGAGATACTCATTTATTTTATGAAATTGGATATGAGTCAAGTTGCCTATTCTCCAATAAGGACGCCGCAACGTTAGCGTGGGATAAAACAACTTAATTTTTTAAGGTTTCTTAAATCTCAATTATGACTTTAACGCTTTTTAGTAGCAAGATAACGACATCATAGATGTAAGCAAACAATCATGGGAAAGCACAATACTCTACAGGTATCCAGAATTCTCAAGAAACATATCTCTCATAGTAAACTTGAGAGACAGGCATGATAGAAGCTTAAAAGTGATAGCAACTTCTGTGGAACTTGTTAACAGTGGTTCAGAATGTGGTGATCATACACTCGGTTTTACTTTAAGTAACAAAACTGTATGTTTAAGTAAGGAGTTGGAGTGTGATGGCAACCCTAATTGTGGAGTAGAACTGAAATTCGATGAGGATAGCATTATATGCAGAAGTAAGTTTTCCAAGAAATGGACGTCAAGTAAGAAACGGGGAATAAGAAAAGTCATAATATACTAAGTGACATATAAATCCGAACACCCAGTTTAAATGGTTTTATTTTAATAAAATTTTGTACTTAATGAAGCATAATAAGTAAATGATAAAAATTTCAAAATGATTGCACTGCTTTAAAGCCCTTTGACCTTTAATAATGTGTGGATGCACCCTGATGTGCTACGCATTCTCCAACGCGCCTAGGCATGCTTCTGATCAGGTGGTCGATGTCCTCCTGTGGTATCTCATTCCAGGCAACCACCAACTCCTCTCGAAGTGCTTCTAGAGTCTGAGGAGGACGTTGCAAATTGAGCAATCTCCTACCCATCATATCCCACACGTGCTCAATTGGGGATAAGTAGGGAGATCTTGGTGGCCATGGTAACAATGTGACATCATTATGTTGAAAGAAGTCTATTGTGACTCTTGCAACATGTGGTCGGGCATTATCTTGTTGGAAAGTTGGATCTGCCAGGGTGTCAAGATAGGGTAATAGATAGGGTTCTAGAACTTCGTGGATATAACGCTGCGCATTCATGTTACCTCTGATGAAGATTAAAGGTGACCTGGAACCATAAGCTATATCACCCCAAACCATAACTCCAACAGTGTGATGAACATGTCTTCCAACAAAAAACTGTGGATTCCTCCTTTCACCACGTCGCCTTCTAACCCTGGCACGACCATCGTGCATGCCTAAACAAAATCGAGACTCGTCAATAAAGACAATACTGTTCCATTCCTGATCCCAGAGTGACAGTTGCCTGCACCACTCAAGGTGATTACGTCGGTGTTCTCGAGTTAAAGGGAGGACCCAGTGTGGCCGTTATGAAAACAAGCCAAAACTTCTCATTCGTCGGTAAACACTTCGCATGCCAATAGGTCTTCCGTGTTCTGCAAACCATTCATTTGCAATGGACCTGGTAGTGGAGAAACGGTCCCTTAAGGCCAATAATTTTAGGCGGCGATCTTCACGGTCTGTTGTTCTACGGCGGCGTCCAGTGCCCCTTGCTCTTTGCGTACGGCCTTCTCGAAGCCATGCCTGACAACACCTAACCACAGTGTCTACACTTCTTTGCACTCTAACTGCAATTGCCCGAAAAGAAAGTCCAGCTTCCCGAAGTCCCACTATACGGCCCCTATCAAACTCACTAAGTTGACGAAATCGTACAGGTCTCCGTACTCTAGGCATCGTAACCGATCGTAAAGGATGTCAAGAACCAAAATCCGCCAACGTTGATTCTTTACTGCGGCTGAAATATTCATTTTTAGAGCGTTAGTGAATTAAAAAAAAGCAGTATAAAAACCGGAATGTCCAACTGATAAGGCTGAAAATTTTTTCACTTGTTATTTACATTTAGTAAGATAAATACATTCACCAACTTTTATTAAAATAAAGCCATTTAAACTGGGTGTTCGGATTTATATGTCACTTAGTATAGTTATCAGACAAATACTAAGTACTTTTGAAATTCAAGGCTTTTAAAAAATCGACAAATTGGAACAATCTACACCCTGTGATCATCTCTTGATTCCCATAACTAAAAATTTCAATGGGTGTAGACTTTTTCGATTTTTTAAGCCTATAATTTGAAAAGTACGTGAGTTAGATTTCTTAGATTCTTCTGTTCTATTATGACTTGTCCTATACCCCATTTCCGGCTTGACGTCGACTTCTGGGACACCCTGTATACTAGCAGAAAAACAGCGAACTTCTGGAAGGCAGATAAATATGGAATATATTGTCGTTGTCATTGATCTATACTTTTAAAAAGATCATCATGGTGATGATGTGGTTCCATTTTGGCTATTCAAACATGGAGTTCTATATGTCTGTCCTCGAATTCGTTGATCTGAGCATTGAGAGCTGGCACGTACGACCATTCCTTTGCTTAAGTGCATCGATAAAGGCAAATAAATGACTTTTGCAGTCTTTTAAAGAATATCAGCAGCTATGTAATAATTGTTAATTGATTTTCAGCCGTAGAGTCTAAGCTTCTATGGGCGCTCCTACTAACGATGGTAATGGCATTCATACTACAACATGTCTCGATTCATTGGTTGAACAAAATGATTCCCGAAGTGCCGAAAGACTCGTTCGTATACGATATTGATGATTCCATGATGGTATCGAGGTTCGGAAACTTGATGTTGCAATTGCAGAGTTCAACTGAAGACGGTCCTCAGAGTTCAGCACGTACATCTTCTAATTTGTGACATGCATCAAAATATATTCATACGAAAATCAAATAGATTATTTTGAAGATTTGTGGTATTGCATTTCCGTATTACGCATATTATGGCGAGAGGTAGGACTTTCATAGAGGAGAATAGCTAAAAGATTTTATAAACTATAGTCCGATTATATTTTTTCCATGATCTTTTTCATGCTGTGCACGAATCTGAAGTCAAAATTAGTTGCCGGTGGACAAATTTTGGAGAAAATGCATAACAATGATCCAGAGGTCCACAAAAGAGATGCACAATCCAACAAAAATGCCAAAATATGTGATCTTAATTCCAGAATTATATTATTATTTGTCCACCGATCCCAACTTTCAATGTTCAAACATGGAGTAAAATAGAAATAATACTATTGCGACCACCCTTGTATAGTGGATACCAAATAAAACCCGATGCACGTCATCGATCTGGAGCTGTGCGCTGTTGCCAGAATTTGCACATTTTCTTTTAAGCAAATAAATTTAATAAAATAAATTGTTTATATATACCTACCATTTACTATAATACCATTATATTAAAAATAAATAAACTTGTTGTAAAATTAAATTCCTTTCTGAATAAAAACACCTGATTTTGGTAGATATTCAATGATATGAGCTCCTTACACCGACTGTTAAGTTGTTTTGGCATTTTGGATATTTTACACCACTTCACAGTAACTGTTGCTCTGAAAAGAACAATTTTTAATTGGCAAGGCAACGACTCAAAGCTCAAATAGCGCAAAACTCACAAACTAAACAATAAAGAACTAATAGTACGACAAAAGGACAATGGCAACTGATGTCAACAAATGAGAAGTGGCAACCTCACATTTCTCTGCACGGCACTACCAACCGAATCGAGACGGGGAAATTTAAACTTCAAGTAGAAATGTCACATTGAATGTAGTCAACTGTTGGTAACCATGATTTTTATGAATGACATCACCTATGACGTGCATCGGATTTTATTTGGTATCCACTATATCTGTATCGCCTGAGCAGTGTTGCCATATTGAGATATTTTCACCTAAATTTAGAAGATTTTTACTTTCCTTGGAAATTATCTGGAGGATAATCTTCTGCAGGATTTTTTTGGGGAAAAGTAAACTCTTTTGGTATTTTTTGGGGTATTTTATTCCATTTTTGAGCACGCACTTCTGAATAATATTTTATCTTGCTTGTTGCTTTTTCTTCCTCATGGGTGGCACATATCTTAACAAAACACCTATACTGTCAAATGTAAGTTGGTAGACCTGTATTCATACTGATATAACAAGAATAACAGAATAGTAAGATGTAAACCAGGCCAGTTGATTCATCTTCGTCTCGAACGTGCTTTGAGAGAAAAGGACTCGTCTTCTCCTCGATGTTGCACTGTTTTGCTCGTTTTTATGCGTTCATGCTCAACCGCTGTGCAAAAAGAAAAACAACTACCATAATGCGGCGTTCACAGGGTATTTATTTTATGAAAAAGTTTTAAACTGACAATTCCCTTTTGATAAATCCCGCGTGAGACCCTAAAAGGTAGGTGACAACAGGTTGTACAAATTACTACTGTTTTCAAGAACGGGGACTCATCGAATCAAACTTACCCTTCCCCTAACCTGTTAACAGTGTGTTTTTTTTCGAATAAGTAGCGAGAGAGATTTTTGTACCTGTCGGGGGAATTCTGTCCGAGCCATCCGGCAACGCTGTATCTGGGGATTTTTGGCCGATTAGTTGGCAACCATGAACAGTAACGCGAGCGGCTCTAGCAATCTTTTTGAGTTTTGAGCATTTCGGTTTGAATTTTGTAGTTTTCTCGGTCTTGTGGTTTTAAGTGGAAAAACAGCTAATTCGGAAATTGCTTGTGTTAATATAATGCAAGAATTCATCGTTTTGCAGTGTTTCAGCTGCGAAGTTTACCAGGTTTGTACATATTTCAACTGTTATATTCTAATTAAGACACATACTTTTGTAATATTCAGGTGCACATAGTGAAAAAGTCCTCCAAGTGGAGATGCAAGCTGTGCAACGCCAAACAGTCCATCGTAAAGGTAAGATCGCATGCAATATTTATTAAATGGTAGAATACCAATAATTATTCACAGATATTCATGAAGAGTGAATCGGCCAAAGAATGTAGAGTTATAGTGCAGGAGTTGAATGAAAAATATATTAAACATGCTGAAGAATTAGGTATTGCATTGGGGTCGGAAACTAAAAATACCCCAATTGAAGAACCTGGTACTAAAGGAACTAATAGTGATAATCAAGGTGGCATCTTAAAAATAAGTGACTCAAAGTGGACAAAATATTCTGACGAGGATAAAAAAACATGCGCCGATTAACCCCAAATGACAAGCCTTTCAGTCTATTAGCTATTAGGAGGGCTGGGGTTTTTATCTTTGTTGCTGGTGTTGATACAGTCATTTCAGGATGTTATCGACGAATTTGTTAAACTGTTTTCAGGCTTTCTTTCAAAGGGTTTTCAAAAACTATGGTGGTTTAATATAACCAGTTTCATACATTTGATTGCTGTCTTATTCATTATACATAATGCAGTAAGTACATGAACCTGCTTCAAATAAAAAAGAATGGATTCCCTTACCTCACTCTGGCATTTATTGGAAAAATTCACGACTTAACCTTTGTTCGGCGGTAACCCTCCTGGTATAAATTTGTTTAGATTTTTTGAATAATTGCTAATTTTTCTTTTTTTCCAGTATATGACTAATGTCTCAGTGTATGCAATGTGCGCGATTTATTTAAAAAACATAGGATGTCAACCCTAACACACAGCTAGATGAATATGCAAGGCTCACCTGGCGCAGATATCCTATTTCCCTTAGAAGAGTTGGAGGTAGACCTAATTTCCACTTTGGAGACACTTGACACCCACGTCACAACACTAAAACTCCAAAGCAATACTGAGAGAACCCTATTATAGTGAGCACCACTGCTGAAAAAAATAGCTAAACCGAATAGGGCTTTGCACGGAGCTGTGAACGCCTAGACATTCCGCTGCGCCGTCGGTTGCCGAGAGACTGAAGCGTGTGAGTGTTACCGGTTAACGTAAACATCGAGTCGCTTCGGAAGCAGACGCGCGGAGTGGGAGCTGGAAAGGGGCGTAGCTGTACTACCCGGCCGTACCGTATCGCCGCGGCGAGGTACAGCACTCGCACGTCGCACGCTTCAGTCTCTCGGCAACCGTTGGCGCAGCGGAATGTCTACGCGTTCACAGGTCCGTACAGAGCGCTACTCGGTTTAGCTACTTTTTTTCAGTAGTGATGTTCACTATAGGGTTATCGATTGTCTCCCAGTAGTGCCTTGGTGTTTTCGTGACGTGGGTGTCGAGTGTCTCCAAAGTGGAAATTAGGTCTACTTCCAACTCTTCTGAGGGAAACAGGATATCTGTGCAGGAAACTACGTGAGCCTTGCATACTCATCTACTTGCGTGTAAGGGTTGACATCCTATGTTTTTTCAAATAAATTGCGCACATTGCATGCACTGAGAAATTAGTTATATACTGAGGTATCTGGGAAAAACTAAAATTTGGCCAAACTAATGGCACTATTTAGGCACTACATGATGGTGTTTTCAAAAAAGTGCTACACTGTATCTAATAGCAGCTTTTTCTACGTTCTTATGTACTTACATTCATTACAATCTCAAGCTATTAGCAAGGGTTCCAACAAAAGGTCCAAGGAATTGGTGATGCAGAGGCAGCAAAATTTTTCCAATCTTCATTTGCATATTTTTAACTATTGTACAACGATTTCGAGAACAATTTAGCTACGGATAGTTTAGTAGAGTATATTTCAACAGTTGTCTTGCGTGTCCATGTTATTTTTACTCGGGCCTCTGAATTAAAAATACCGATCGTTTTTTGTGCAATGTACATATATACGTATATCAATAAAAATCATGCATTTGATATGACAAATAATGCTTTTCCTATATCTTTGAGGACCTTCTCCTTTGTCATTTAAAATCAGGTGGACGTCATTCTCCATTTATGATTTAATAATTTAACTCATTTTTCGGCACTGCGAAAACAATTTTTCAATTCACGTTTGTTTTTTTAAATGAGATTGACATAAGACCTGTCACCACCCGCTAGTACCTCACGGACGTTAGGCGGTTACCCATACCACGTCATTGTTTGACATTGGGATGACGTCACATCCGTCTTTCCCTATTTCCGTTCTTCGCGAAAATTTGAGTATCGGTTCCCGGTAGTGCACTGTGCTACACCGTGGACTCGCGAAAAAATGCTTAATGTCAATCACAGGACATCAAATATGGCACTAAAAGAGCATTGTAGATGTTTTGTGGTTATAGAAAGAATAGAATTTATCAAGTCAAAGAAATTAGAAAAACTGCAAATTTCGACATCATCCCAATGTTGCCGATTTGCTGAACTTTTTGCATCGTAGAGGAACTTTTTCGGAACCTAAATTTTAGAGGAACTTTCAAGAAAGAATAGTTTATTTTCGGAATTTTCAAGAAACTTTGGGTACAGCGGTACTGCTGTCTACGCCCATGGTGAGAGGATGCAAAAATTTCATGTGACGTCATTTGTGCATGAAAAATCGGAACATTTCGGAGTTTTTGACAACCTCGCACCGAACATTTGCAACTCAAGTGTTGGTAACACTGGATCATCCCCACCTCAATCGTTTCTTAAAGCTCCACAAGCATGATTCAACAGTTTTTAAAACCTTCCTCCTAGTAATAAAAATTCGTTAAAGCCCGACTCGAGCCCAAACATGATTCTTGATAACTTTTCTATAACGTTGATCGTTTTCGAATTTTTAGCGATTCAGTGTTTGAAAAACCGTTAATATAGACATTTGAGTTGCTTAAAAAACTGTTAAACATTATCGTTTTTGAGGTTGCCAAATATCGAAAGTTCAAAAAGAGTATTTTAGGCTTATTTTAATGATGGGAGGTTAAAATTAAAACAGGTGATACAAGCTGACACAGTTGTTTATTATTACATTCTTGTTTAGAAGATACAATTTCGAATCATGGCACCAAAAATGTTCAATTACATCTTTTCTTCAGAATAAATACAATACACAAAACACTAAATCTTTCTTAAATTAGTTCACAATCTCGATCCACTATAACTAAATTACAAGTAATAGCATAAATAAAAAATAATACATTTTGCTTAAAACTATAAATTTTACATAATCTAAATATGTACTTTCTACAAATGATAAAATATATACAATGCCGAAAGCTAGAGACTAGAGAATTAAAATTGGCAAACGATTTTTTACAACACGCTTTAAAAATAAAGTCATTATTGCTTCCATTACAACATTGCTTACCTCTACATGAAGTGTTAAAGAAACAGTGAAAAAGTAGTAAAATACCGTTGTCTATACCCGGGTTCTACAAAAATAGCAAAAGTTAATCTCAAAATGGAAGTGTCGCAGGTACCTACATTGTCTATGATTGTTTCCGTTTCTAAGAAATTTTGGACAAACAGGGGTATAGTATACTGAGTGTCCAAATTTTTATATACACTAATACACACAAAGCATCGAAGCTTTAGGAAAGAAAATGCAAATATAAAATAGAGATCACATTATTTACATCAAACAAAACTGCTATTATTATTAAAGAAATAGTTTTCGTACTGTAGAGGGTTGTAGTACAATCTATCATTACAAGCACCTCAAAATCTGTTCATATTTATATGAAGTAATTTAAAATTGATGCTTTTGAGCTGAATGAATGCGTATTTTTTTAGGAAGTAATCTTTGATTTTCATTGGGGCTTGTAATCCTAGATTTTACATTACTTTCATGACATATTGAATAAGTACAGGAGTATTGGTTTTCAAATGCAAGTAGTATCAAATCAAAATGGTTCCACAAGGTCAACATCATTAGGCGCTGATTATAACTTACCACATTTTGTTACGAGGTGGATGATTATCATGCATTTTTGACTGCACGGGGCTGCGGTTTATCAAAATTTGGGGAGTCTTAATATTTATGGTTTATTACAAAGATGAGATTTTTTCGTTTATAGATCAGGTTAACATTTGAACCAGTATATTTCTGAGATTCTAAATGCGGGTTAAATACAATAATTATGCTATCAATCTCTTGGAAGTGACATATTTAATACTTATATGGATACATGGAATGCGAAAGGTGTATACCTTTTGCCAAGAAAGCTATTTCCAAGGTCACAGGCCTAAGGCCGCGATTATACTCCGAGGTGGCGGGTGGTAGGCGGAGGTGACGGGTGGTAGGCGGAGGTGACGGGTGATGATCCATTTATATTGAGGCAATATCATATCCGTAAAATCGTTTCACGCGTTTCCTTACGGCTAAATAAAAAATCAGTCACACGTACGAGTTCTACTCTTGATAGCTTCTTCAAGATTTTCTCCGTCTCCTTTTACTACCAGGCTTCTTTGGGCTCCCCTGCTGTTGCCTGATGATTGTGGTGGAGTTGTTGTTGCGTCTCTTCCTCTCGTGTCGTGCTTGACCGTATGGTTGCGAGGATGGCCGCCAGAGGGCGCGACGGCGCCACGATCTGTTCAGAGAAAAAAGATGTTTAAAAACTGCCAAAACTCACACATAAGCTACCGTGGTTCTAAAAAGCACTGTAGTTTGCGAATAAAAGTAGTTCCTTGAATTTGATTAGAGTGGGTTTCGGGATTGAGATTTTTTATGTATTAAGCACACGGATTTATTCTTAAAAAAAATGGCATGGAAACATACAATGCTTTTATGAGATATGAAGTGCTGTTTTCCAGGCAAATAGCGTTCATTTCATCCAGGATTTCTGCTTATGTACATTCCTACGAATTATTCTAACCTAAAAGACTTCTTGCAGGTTGCTTGTTCGCTATGAGTCGATTTTGCTGCTGAAAAAAAACTGATATCGTTGATTGAGTTTGTCGATATTAATTTTTTTCGATCAGCTATTAGGAAAGTTGAGCAGAACTGAGAGATATAGAACAGGCTATAGCAGATAGATCATCCAGTGTATTAGATTGTGAAGTGAGTGATAGTGAAGTGTAGCGGTTGAAGACGTGAGATTCTTGCAGACTATGATCCTCATTCTACTTACTTAGTATTCAGAGAATAGTCTGTTCGATATGGATATTCTTGTACTAACGCTAGACTCCTGGCAGCTGGCAAAATGTTATTAATCAGTCCTTTGAAAAAATATTGGCATACCATACATCTTACATAACTAAACAAACTTTATACCCAGTGATCATCAATGCTTTGACATCTCGCTGTGGTGATCCGAAAAATATGCTTTTATGATTTATCTTACGTACTGACGTCGTTTAGAAGTATCAAAATGACGTCTTATTCACGTCCTAAGGACCTCGCAAATTGACGTCCACAAGACGTATCAGTAACGTCACTTGATACGTCCGGTACTGCGTATAAACTTGAATATAACGTTGCAAAAACAGTATTTAAAATTTTGTTATGATGGAACTTACCTTCGTCTTGATATTTCCTCTTCCTATAATACTGCCCAATATTGTGTAGTGGTAACGAATTCATCCTTGGTTTCGGCCTTATGTGATTACTGTGAGCCACAGTGCACGACTTGCCTTTGCAAGAGACCAATCTTGCTAACTGGTCATGGAGGTAGGATCTTTCTTCTGGTTTCAGCGAATCTATCCTGTTTTGTAGCTCGAAGGGATCTGGAATAAATGGCCCATTTATAAAGGGATGTTCAAAAAGTACGGATACCTCAAAATACTTTTGCAACGGATAATCTAACGGCGACCTTGAACGTGACATTAAATGTGGCCTTCAAGGTCATTCGAATGTCAAGATAGTTTTCTTGAATGGAAACCCCTACTTGTGACACCGGAAAAGTAGAGTGGGAAATTTTACGTTCAACTATATCTTTGTCCATGACCTTGACTATGACCTTAATGAGAATTTGAGGGCGTATAAGAAGTATGTAAAGGACAAAATGTGTGGAAAATACGTTTCATAATGAAACATGTACCAGAACAACTTGTAGGGTTTGAAAAGGATCAAGGAGTGGTGACCTTGAGCGTGATCATGACCTTCAAGGTCATTCAAAGGTCAAGATAGCGTTATTCTTAAGAAACCTCTATTTGTGCTCCAAAAATGTAAATAGCAGAAACATGGACAAAATGTGTGGAAAATACGTTTCATAATGAAACATGTACCAGAACAAACTTGTAGGGTTTAAAAAGGATCAAGGAGTGGTGACCTTGGGCGTGATCATGACCTTCAAGGTCATTCAAAGGTCAAGATAGTGTTATTCTTAAGAAACCTCTATTTTTGGCACCAAAAATGTAAATAGCAGAAACATTTTGTTCAAGTATGTCCACGATCTTACCTATGACCTTCAAGGTAATTTGAATGTCAATAAAGTTGTTTTGACTGGATATTTTTGACACCAGAAATGTAAAGAGCAGGAAATTTTGAGCTCAAACATGTTTTTGTCCATGACCTTGACTATGACCATGAAGGTCATTTGAAGATTGGATAAATTTCTAAATAATCTCCTTATATTTTGTCGGGGATATAAAGAAGATAAACATTTTGCGGTCAAGGTCACTATTATATACTTGACCATCATCTTGACTATGACCTTCAAGATAACTGGAAGGGAAATGAACCTCAAAATTTGTTCTACAGCATTTTTCTCTGGACACGCATTTATCGAGATATTTTAGGGCATCCATACTTTTTGGACAGCATATATAACGTAAATGAAGTGCAGAGTATAAGAACAACTTTCCGAAAAACTTTTCATAAAATAGTATTGTTTTAATTTTTGAGGTGTTCCAATTTTCAGCAGGTACTGCCCCATTTTCTTTAATTCAGCAAGTAAATACATAAAGACTGTATTGACGTTTCGACTACCTTTTTGTACGCTTTTATATACTAAGTGACATATAAATCCGAACACCCAGTTTAAATGGTTTTATTTTAATAAAAGTTGGTGAATGTATTTATCTTACTGTAAATAACAAGTAAAAAATTCAGCCTTATCAGTTGGACATTCCGGTTTTTATACTGCTTTTTTTTAATTCACTAACGCTCTAAAAATGAATATTTCAGCGCAGTAAAGAATCAACGTTGGCGGATTTTGGTTCTTGACATCCTTTACGATCGGTTACGATGCCTAGAGCACGGATACCTGTACGATTTCGTCAACTTAGTGAGTTTGATAGGGGCCGTAGTGGGACTTCGGGAAGCTGGACTTTCTTTTCGGGCAATTGCAGTTAGAGTGCAAAGAAGTGTAGACACTGTGGTTAGGTGTTGTCAGGCATGGCTTCGAGAAGGCCTATTGGCATGCGAAGTGTTTACCGACGAATGAGAAGTTTTGGCTTGTTTTCATACCGGCCACACGGGGACCTCCCTTTAACTCGAGAACACCGACGTAATCGCCTTGAGTGGTGCAGACAACGGTCACTCTGGGATCAGGAATGGAACAGTATTGTCTTTAGTGACAAGCTCGATTTTGTTTAGGCATGTACGATGGTCGTGCCAGGGTTAGAAGGTGACGTGGTGAAAGGAGGAATCCACAGTTTTTTGTTTGAAAGACATGTTCATCACACTGTTGGAGTTATGGTTTGGGATGCTATAGCTTATGGTTCCAGGTCACCTTTAATCTTCATCAGAGGTAACATGAACGCGCAGTGTTATATCCACAAAGTTCTAGAACCCCATCTTTTACCCTATCTTGACACCCTGGCAGATCCAACTTTCCAACAAGATAATGCCCGACCACATGTTGCAAGAGTCACAATAGACTTCTTTCAACATAATGATGTCACATTGTTACCACGGCCACCAAGATCTCCCGACTTATCCCCAATTGAGCACGTGTGGGATATGATGGGTATGAGATTGCTCAATTTGCAACGTCCTCCTCAGACTCTAGAAGCACTTCGAAAGGATTGGTGGTTTGCCTGGAATGAGATACCACAGGAGGACATTGACCACCTGATCAGAAGCATGCCTAGGCGCGTTGGAGAATGCGTAGCACATCAGGGTGCATCCACACATTATTAAAGGACAAAGGGCTTTAAAGCAGTGCAATCATTTTTGAAATTTTATCATTTACTTATTATGCTTCATTAAGTACTTATACAAAATT